CGCGGTGCCAACGGCTTCCGCCCAAAAATATTTTGGAAGATCATTTTCATTTAACATGGTTCTAGCAAGTTCTTCCAATACACGATTTTTTCTTTCTACAACTCCATTTAGTTGTGGAGTCCTATGAGCGGAAAAATTATGTTTAATACCGTTTTCTTCACAAAACATTTCAAATTCTTGATTTTCAAATTCTCCGCCGTGATCGGTTCTAATTGAAACAATATTTGAAGATTGTTCATTTTGAATAAGCTTGGCTAGTCTCTTGAATGATTTAAAAACATTGCTTTTATATGTAAGAAACAAAGTCCAAGTGTAGCGAGAATAATCATCCACAATGACCAAGGCATAGTAATTGCCACCAAAGCTCATGGTTCTAGTTGGTCCAAAAAGATCCATATGTAAAAGTTGTAAAGGCTTTGTGGTAGAAACAATATTTTTTGATTTAAAAGAAGCCTTTACTTGTTTTCCCATTTGACAAGCGTCACAAACTTTATCTTTTTCAAATTTGAGCTTTGGTAATCCAATAACTAAGTCTAAGGATATCAATTTGCTCAATTGACCCATGCCAATGTGTGCTATTCTTCTATGCCATAACCAAGAATCATATTCCTTACTAATCAAACATTTATCATCATTTGAAGGCATACCATCTAAGTCTATCATATAAATGTTATCCACTCTATGACCAAGAAACTTAACTTGCCCATCAATTAGACTCTCAATTTTACAAGAGGTTGAGTAAAAAATAATTTTATAATTTTTATCACATAATTGACTAATGCTAAGCAAGTTATGTCTAAGGCCCTCAACAAGCAAAACATTTTCTATAGAAACGGAGGAGGAATTACCAACTTTTCCAATACCGAAAATCTTTCCTTTGTTGTTATCTTCATGGGAAACGTGTCCATGTTCTTTTTTGGTGAATGATTGGAACTTAGTCACATCTCCCGTCATGTGACTTGAGCAACCACTATCCAAGTACCATTTAGAGCTTTTAGCCTTCAAGCAAACCTACATCACAAAGTCAAGATTTAATCTTTGGTACCCAAACCTTGTTGGGTCCTTGTGTGTTAGTCTTGGGCTTAGTTCCCTTAGGAACCCACACTTTCTTTTGCCCAATAATACCATTCTTTCTAACTTTACATGTGGATGCACTATGACCTTTTCCACCACAATGAAAACATTTAATGAATGGACTACTTGTCATGTAGGATGGAGAAATGAAAAAGTTTTTATATGATTTTTCTCGTGTGCTAGTGTCAAAGCCTAAACCGGATTTGTTGAACATGCATCTTTGTTTACCAAGCAACATATTTAAGTTATCTCTTCCACATGTGAATTTGCTTAGAATTTCATTTAAATCATCAATTTCATTGTTTAGATTTTTACATGAAGTACATGATGATGAAGATGCATTATCATTTGAAGATAGGCATTTGATACAACTAGTGCTAGCATCAAGTAATTTGAAAGTTTCATTTTCATCTTTCAAATCTTTCACTTCCTTTTCTAAAGATGCAATTTGTTTTTCCAAAGAACTAATAGTTTTCCTTGATTCTCTAAGAGTTTTACATGTTTTAGTGTTTCATTATGCATTTCTTCAAACATGTCAGACAACTCATCATATGAAGGGGAAATAGTAGAGCAAGACGAGTTTACCTCGGTTTTGGATTCATTTTCGCCTCATTTGCCATGAGACATATATGTTGAGTTCCTTTACTTGATTTCTCCGGTGGTCTCCCATCTTGCATGAAGCATAGGTTTGCTTCTTCCTTGGAGTCATAATTGGAAGAACTAGATTCGTCATCCCAAACAAGATAACCCTTCTTGAAGTTCCTTCTATCATTGCCTTGCTTCTTTTCATATTTGTCTTTCTTTTGAATATTTGGACAATCCGATTTGTAGTGACCAGTTTTTCCACATTCATAGCAAGTGATGGTGAGTTGTGAGGATCCTTCATCTTTAGATCTTCTTCTACGAGGAAATGCGGATTTCTTTGAAAAATTCTTCTTAAAGAATTTTCCATACTTCTTTACGAAGAGACTCATCTCATCTTCATTAAGGCCATTTTCGAAATCTTCATCTTCTTTTCCTTCATCCTTCTCCTTGCTTGGTGTTGAGGCTTTCAAGGCAATTCCCTTACTTTTCTTGATGGCTTGTTCCTTCAAGGTTATTCTAGTTAGCTCCATTTCATACTCTTGAAGTTTGCCGAACAAGGTTGCAAGATCCACGGTTTTTAAATCTTTTGATTTCGTAATAGCCGTTAACTTGGGTTGCCATTCCCTATTGTGCACACTTCTCATCATCTTAGCAATTAACTCAATGTTAGTAAAAGATTTATCTAAAGCATTTAGATGAGTGACAAGGTGTGTGAATCTCTTTTGCATACTTTGAATACTTTCATTCTCATGAATCTCAAACATTTCAAATTCTCTAGTGAGTGCATTTAATTTTGTAAATTTAACATCACTCGTTCCTTGATGGGTTATTTGAAGAGTATCCCACATTTCCTTAGCATTCTTACAATTTGAAACACGAAAGTATTCATCACGACCTAAGGCATTTGTGATCAAGTTTTGAGCTCTAGCATTCCAATTTCCTTTCTTAATTTCATCTTCAGTGTAATTATCTATATCTTTAGGAATATCTTCATCCTTCTCATTTTTTATAGTAGGTGGTGTGTACCCTTTTTCAACTACACTCCATACTCTTAAATCATTAGATTGAAGAAATATTTTCATCCGACTCTTCCAATAAGAATAATCGACACCATTAAAAAATGGAGGTCTAGTACTAGATGATCCTTCAAGGGGCATATCATGGTTCAAAGAAGCCATCCCTTCTCTTGAAGCGGTTAAGCTCTTTACACAAGAGCTCAAGCTCTGATACCACTTGTTGGACATGTGGCTTCAATACTCAAGAGGGGGGGTGAATTGAGTTTTACAAAATCTTTTCGCAAAGTACATCCTTTGATGTTTTAAAGACTATTTCTTCAATAAAGTAATTTAATAAGGAAATGTCTAATTGTAAAAGCAAGTGTAGTGATCAACAAAGTAAGCAAGCGAATATATATAAAGACAATCTAAGATGCAATTTTAATACTTAAATAAAGAGATTAAGGTTAAAGAGATTGAAAACTAGATGTATCCTGGTTCGGTCACCACCACCGTGACCTACGTCCAGACTGAAGCCGCTCGATCAATTCTTTTCACTAACTATCAAGTTTGAGGGTGCTTGACAAACCACTACAACTTTTCAAGACTTCGGGCTCTTGATGCCTTACACTTTTTCACTCCAAATTTTTTTAGGAATTTGGTGACCTTTCAAGTGTGTAGGGTTCACTCCCCTAGCTACTCAAGTAATCAAGGAAGGTGTTTAATAATGGCTAAGTACTCTCAAAGTACAAATAACACAAGTTGAAGAACAATGATATATGACACTCTCACAAGAATAAAGCTCAAATAGAATTTATGATCAAGAAAACAAGAATAATGCAAATAGGATGAGAATTAATGAGTAATGATGATCAATAAGTGTGTGCCATCAATGGGAACAATAGTCTCTATTTATAGAGGGCCTCTATGGCCTTTTTCCTACTCATTTTCGCAAACTAGCCGTTTTATAGCCGTTATTTTTGTCTCTGAACAGTAGGTACTCGATTACCATTGAGTGGGTAATCGATTACCATGCGGGGGTGTTTGTTGCAAGTTTTTGAAGAGGATTACCGGTAATCCTTCTTTGGTAAATGTAATTACCACGTTTGGTAGAAGGAGTAAATTAGGATTCCCGGATATCCAAGGATTACCGGTAATTTGATTTATAAAGAAAAGTCACTATTTAGATTACCAAAAATAATATGGTAATTCGAAATACCAATCAGAATACCAAGTAAAGGGAAAACACAACAATAAATTTTGAGAAAAAATACACCAATACACATAAAAATCTAGACCCAATCTATCAATTACAAAAGTAAAAATAGTTTGGGGTTATTTTTGTAAAATAACCTCATATTCGAAGTCATATTTCGTTCTAAACCAAATATGGAATCAGTAATTTTTACCCAATATTTCCGGTAATATTTTGGCGAACCAAACACCTCTTTCGTAAGATTCCAAGTAAACTCAATTTCTACTGTATTCCCATTAATCATGACTCCCGGTCACCAAAAAATTTCTCTTGTACCAAACACACCCAGGGTAATCGATTACCATTGTTTGGTGATCGATTACCAACCTGTTGAAAGGTTGGTTTTCGCCTTGAAATGGTTTTCTCTTGATTCACATCATTTTCAAATATTGTTTAAACATTTTATGATCATTGAAAAATATGTTTTCATGTTAAGAATGTATTTGAATGTCAAACGATGATTTAATGCATGTATTTAAAAAATAGTTTGAGCTTCGTTCTTGTAAAGAATCAATTTACAAATAATCCTAAGTCCTACAGTATATTACTCTGAGTTTGGACTTAGAGACTTCTCTTGAAGCTTGAGTCTTGATCTTGTTTAGACTTCTTTTTTATGGTTGCACCTTGAAGCTTTCTTTCCATGTTTGTCATTATCGAAATCGTTGAACCTTTATATTCTTTTCATAGAGTGCATTGGTTCCACAGAAGGGGTAGGATATTGTAAGTTGTAACAATTAATTAGTGTTACTACTAATCGATTTCACCTTCAAATTATGTTGATTTAACAGTTATATTTATTTTCATCTTTGTATGGTTAGTGAGAATAAATATAAAGTATCATCAAATATGAAAAATCATAATCATACAAAGATAAAAATAAATATAATCGTTGAATTAATATAATCGATTTAATGTGAAATTGATTGATATTTACAATATATTTTTTCTAAGTTGAATACCAAGGGGAAAAAATAAAATTATAATACGCGGCATATAAATCTATAAACGACTAAAAAGTTAATGGAGCGTAGACGACTGTCGTTTTATGAAAGCTCAATTCTGTGGTGCCCTGGGGCGCAAGACAAGTAACAGTGCTACAAAGGAAAAGGACTCTAAAGGCTTGACGGCCACCTACTAGCACCGGCAAGGTTACACACCTAGTGTTAGGGTTTTTACTTTACGCTGCTCTCACAACACAACACAGCACAGCACAGACACAGGTACTTACACTCCAACGTAATTCATCTCTCTCTCTCTCTCTCTCTCTCTCTCTCTCTCTCTCTCTCTCTCTCTGCTTTGTAATTGGGATTTTTAGGTTTTTGCTATGCGCTTTTGCAGCATCCATGGCAAAAGCCTCTGCTGGAACCGTCAATCCACACGGCAGGACTGGAGTTCGTATTGTTGTGGCCGGAGACCAGGGCACCGGAAAATCAAGCCTCATTATTACAGCTGCCGCCGACAACTTCCCGGTGAATGTGCCACCGGTGTTGCCTCCCACGAGGCTTCCTGAAGATCTGTATCCGGATCGCGTGCCTATCACAATTATTGACACCTCTTCCCGGTATCAAACTTTAACGTTCTTATCTTTTGGTTCACGAGGCATTCATAACTGAAGTAACACCGTTTCGAAAGTGACAGTAATGGCTTTTCCTTTTCAAGGTTCGCAGGCCTTAAAAATAGATAATAAAACTAGAATGTTTTGAGTAGCAGTACCTGTTGTTGTTGTGATTCGGCGGTTTTTTTTTTTTTTTTTTACTAAATATACAACATCTTCTGGTGTTTCGGAGTTGATGTTTCGTTTTGGAGCTAAGCTAAGCCTTATCTTGTACCTGAATGTTCTCCCTTTGAAACCAGTTTGGCTGTTTGGTTTCTGAGCTCTTTGCTGATCGAGGTCATGGAATTATGTTAAGTTGTTTGACATTATGTTTATCGTGTCCTATTCGCCAAATAAGAAATTTAAAGTATAAGTATACACTCTGCAATCTCTTAGAAAAATGCTATTTCCTGCTTGTACCTTTATCTATTGTTAGGGCAATGTTTACAGTTTGCTTTATTATTATTATTATTATTGCAGTCCTGAGGATAGTGTTAAAGTTGCTGAAGAATTGCAGCGGGCTGACACAGTTGTCCTCACTTATGCATGCGATCGGCCTGAGACACTTGAAAATCTGAGTATATTTTGGCTCCCACATCTTCGCAAATTAGAGGTTCTGATCTTATAGTATTATTATTATTATTATTATTATTATTATTATTATTATTACTTTACCTCTCCAAGGACTATATGTTCAATTACAGCTCCTTTTATCTTTTAAAAGTGAAGAGGAAAAAAAAAGGAGGGAGAAAATAAATATTCCTCAAGAATGGAAAGGGAGGTCCTAATAGATTATTGTAAATTGCTAAACCCATTCTGCTCTTCTTTCTTGTAAAAACATCTTCTATTCTTGTGCACATACTTGTTTACTGTTCATCATACAGCCTAATTAGATTCACACAATATATTTGTTCTTTTTATTTTAAGTGTATATATGCATGATATGGATATTTGAACTTAATGAACAGGTAAAAGTTCCAGTTATAGTGGTTGGCTGTAAGCTTGATTTGAGAGATGAAAATCAGCAGGTGAGCCTAGAACAGGTGATGTCCCCAATAATGCAACAGTTCCGAGAGATTGAAACTTGCATTGAGTGTTCAGCATCTAGGCATATTCAGGTATATTTTATTCATACCATTGCAATCAAACTCCTTGTTTTGACATCTGATTTTAAAGTTGCTGATCAATTATATCTGGATTTTGGTTCATACAATTGTAATGAAATTTTCTTATTGAAGGTCCCTGAAGTTTTCTACTATGCACAAAAGGCTGTTCTTCATCCAACGGCTCCCTTATTTGATCAGGAGTCACAGACTCTAAAGCCTCGATGTGTGCGGGCCTTGAAGCGGATTTTTATCCTCTGTGATCATGACAGAGATGGTGCCCTGAGTGATGCTGAGCTGAATGATTTTCAGGTTGTATTCTCCCCTTTTAAGAAGAATATATTAAATATCAAAATTGAGGCCTATTTATTATCCGAGTACTATAATCTGGCACCTTAGAGCTTGATTATAAACTTGTTTCTATTATGTTATGATGGTAAGGTAATTATTGCATATGATTTGTGAAAAAACTAACAAAACTATCGACAGGTTAAATGTTTCAATGCTCCTTTGCAACCATCTGAAATTGTGGGTGTAAAGAAGGTTGTACAAGAAAAATTGCCTGAAGGTGTGAATGAACGCGGACTTACTTTGACGGGATTTCTTTTTCTTCATGCCCTTTTCATAGAAAAAGGGCGTCTTGAGACAACATGGACTGTGCTCAGGAAGTTTGGATATAATGATGATATCAAGCTTGCTGATGATCTGATTCCACCTTTGAAACGTGCTCCTGATCAGGTATTTCTTTTGAGATGAATTGTGTCCTCATGTGTATTATATATGGTATACCTTTATGTGTTATACCTGCCTGAGATCAATCTGTGAACGTGATACGATACCACCTCCAAGGGCAATTTAGGGAAAGCAATATAGCTGACTCAGCAAAACAGAATGGAAGCACGGGATAGCAAGTTAGTTACGAAGGAATTGGTTTAAATATAGAGGAAGGGGTGCTTGTAGGAGGTATCTAGAATCTTAGTGGAATTACTTGGGCCCCTTGGGGATTGGGAGAGAGTGGAGCCTCTCCAATTGCTTCACACTATCTCTTACTTTATGCATTGTATTTCCTTTCCAGTAATGTATTTCTGTTGGCTATGTAATGAGTAGTTTGAGCTGCACAACTCTGTAATCTGCCATTGCATTTGTCTGTTATTAATCCTGAGATTAATACTGCTGTAATACGGGTTCAGACCAAGTTATATACATATAGATTTGTATTTCAGTTCCTATTTCCATTTTGTTTAGTGTAATTGCTGGTTGGTCTGTATCAAATTGGTATCAGAGCTATCCGATCCGGTAGCTTTGAACCACGCTGATAAAAAAAAAAAAAAATAAAAAAAAAAATAAAAAAAAATGGAAAACAGATCTGAAAATTGGAGGAAGAGCGAGTTGCAACTGGAATATAGATTTCAAGAATGGAAGAAAAGGGAGAGTCAAGTGGAGGAAAACCATAAGAAGATACTTAAGCTTCTTGATGAACTTCTTCAGAAGACCAAGCATCACTCACACAGAAGACAACCAGACAGAAAACGAGGCGGAACCAAGGAAACAGAGCGGCTACGTTCTAGTCCAGAAATGGAAATGCAGAGGGATCTTGTGGTGGAGAAACACAAGGTGGACAGGGAGGAAATTCAGAGTGAATCTCAACAAGAGGCATTAGACGATCCTTATAAAGTGTTATACTCGCTTAAACAGAGCGGAACGATGGCTGAGTTCAAACGTGAGTTCGAGAAGGTGATCGGAGATCTGCGATTTGAGGATGAGGAGCTACTTAAAAGGGCTTGGCTCAAAGGCGTTAAGAGTAGCATCCGCGAAGAGTTGATGATGTACCCTGCCATCAGTTTGTCGGAGATGATCAAATTCTCCTTGAAGATAGAGAAGAGGAGCGTGTGGATGGAGGAAAGGCTGAGTGCAGTAGGGAAGGATGGAACGAGTGGGCTCAACAGAGGGGTTCAGGCCCAACATAGTAGCAACAGCCCATATGAGAGTAAAATTTGGGGGTTTTCTGTTTTGGGCTCTTTCAACCCAACGACATATACGCAGCCCAATTCACTTAATACTAAAAATGCTAGTTCCTATAACGTTAGGGTTGCAAATAAAGATAATTCAAAGGCGGCAGCGACGAAGGTAACCGTAAACACCGTTAATCAAGCCTACGACGGTGGTCACACATCAGATAGCCAAGTGCACAACACTCGACGGCTCTCACAGGCGGAGCTCCGAGATCGTCTGCAAGTGTTAATAGTTAAAGACGAAGACGAAGAAGGAGGAGAACAAGTGACTAGCGCAACGGTGAACGGAGGTAAAGATCAGGAGAGGAAAGAAGAAGTAGAAACAGAGGTTGAAAAGAAGTCGCATAGTAAATCTATGTTAGGGAAATGGGAGATCATGGAAAAGAGTGAGGAAACTCAAAAGGAAGCTGTCATAGGAGGAGTACGTATAATTGAAGACTTTTTGGAAGTACAAAACAGAACAGAAATGATTGGCGTTAAGGAGATGGAAGCCAAGAAGAAAATGAAAATCCAAATGGAGAGGGTGATGATAGATGGCAACCTTTCACCATGTCACGTGGTGGAGGAGCAGAAGAAAAGAATGAGAGAAGAAAAGCTTGTAATGGCCATGAAGAGACCGACTGAGCCTCCATCATTAGGACCATCGAACCCATACGCTTGCATGGCAGCTGATGGCATCCCTGTGATTGAGATGCAGGTGGAAAAAAATGTTGCACCACCTCAAATCAAAAGTAGCGGCTACAAGGAGGAAGGAGCCAGCTTAATGAGGAAATTCCATACCTTGGGTCAATTTTTTGACCTAGAGGGCCAAACCCAAATAAGGAAGAAACAAAAATGGGTGTTTGAGATGAAAGAAAATGAAAAATTGCAAAGGCTGGGCTCTTCTTTTAATAACTCAAGAGGTCAGGCCCAACACCTAATACCCATCAATTGCTACCTGTCAAAGGACTTCTTTGGTCGTACAACTATGGGTACTCAAGAATATGGAGACCACGAAGGTGAGGCAATGATTTTCAACTATGGGTACACTTCTAAGGCATTTACGAAATCGATTGAGTTTAGAGACGATATACAATTTGGAAGAAGCAAAACTGCAGTATTTTTTAAAATGCCAGGTACAAGTTTCCATACACACACAAATTATGTGATGTTGCCATGCTATTGCAAAACACGATCTGTTGCTGTTGGTTGTTTAAATAAGGATATTTCTAATAATTTTAAGCATACTAATTTGGAAGTATATGAGAAGCATGTTCAAGATTTGAAAATGAATGTTGATCAGTGGTTGGAAGGTTGGCTTGAGGAGAAAAAAAATGGGGAAATGCTACAAAGATGGGAGAGCATGAAAGAATATTTAAGAGTTGCTAAGCATCATCTTGCAGAAGTTACAAACGAATGGGATAGGATTGAAGAACAAGCATGGGATCCCGGTGGAAATTGCCAAGCTTGGTGCATATGTAAGGTCCCACAATTCAAACAGTGGGATCCAGGAGGAGGGTTTTTATGGGTTGAACTGCACCTTGAGGACAAGGTGCTTAAAAGGGGTGGAGTATTGATACGATACCACCTCCAAGGGCAATTTAGGGAAAGCAATATAGCTGACTCAGCAAAACAGAATGGAAGCACGGGATAGCAAGTTAGTTACGAAGGAATTGGTTTAAATATAGAGGAAGGGGTGCTTGTAGGAGGTATCTAGAATCTTAGTGGAATTACTTGGGCCCCTTGGGGATTGGGAGAGAGTGGAGCCTCTCCAATTGCTTCACACTATCTCTTACTTTATGCATTGTATTTCCTTTCCAGTAATGTATTTCTGTTGGCTATGTAATGAGTAGTTTGAGCTGCACAACTCTGTAATCTGCCATTGCATTTGTCTCTGTTATTAATCCTGAGATTAATACTGCTGTAATACGGGTTCAGACCAAGTTATATACATATAGATTTGTATTTCAGTTCCTATTTCCATTTTGTTTAGTGTAATTGCTGGTTGGTCTGTATCAGAACGGCAGGGAATTTTTATCTTGTTCTGATCAAGATTGGTTTTAATTTCTGCAGAGTGTGGAGCTGACAAATGAAGCACTTGATTTTTTGAAGGCAATCTTTGATGCATTTGATGGTGATGGTGTATGTCATTTGAACAAATGACCTTGAATATTTACACTTTATCATGATGTTCTTTCATGACTGAAAGGTCATGGGTTCGAATCTAGGAAACAGCCTCTTTGCAATTATGCAAGGGTAAGGCTGCATACAAGGATTACCTCCGCCCCCACACTCGCTAGTCGGGTTTAACGGGGAGTGATTTTTATCATGCTGCCCATTATGTTATTTTCTAATATTTCTCAAACGACTTCATTGTGATTTCAGTAACAAATGAAAACTTGCCTAACTCTTCTTGAAATTTGACCATATCTTTTTGTTCCTCCAGGATGGGATGTTGCGATCCCGTGAACTTGAAGAATTATTTTCTACTGCCCCAGAAAGGTAGATTGCTTTCTCACATTTTGTGCTAGATATGCTTACTTTATTATCCACCACTCCACGGTATGTAGATTGCCTTGCATTGGTTTCTTCTTGAATTGGTAATGGGGTAGAATGATGTGGAGTTTATTATATGCTGTACTTTTCAAATGTAGAAATGCTATGAGGATCTTTTTTATATTTCTAGCTTTCCTTCTTCAATGTTTTTGAAAACTCTACCCATGGCAATTTTTTCTATGTATGCCTTTCCTGAGTCTGAATATCATTAAGAACTTGTGCCAATGTTATTTGATATTTTTTGGTTTTTTATTTGCAGTCCTTGGACTGGATCTCCATATGAGGATGCTGCGGAAAAAAGTGCATTTGGAGGACTATCTCTTGATGCATTTTTGTCAGAGGTGTGCAAGTCTTCTACCTTCTTTTCTATTCTCCCATTCCTGCATTTTGCTGAATAATGTTTTTAGAAGAGCGTGAGCGTCTTTTATCACTCAATTAATTTGGAATGTGCTTTGAGAATCAAGATTGCTTGAGTTTTATGTCTGTCATTACTGATATCTTTTCCTTAATTTAAATATGTATGTATGACTTTATATGTGGTGTGTATACTTTAGCATTTTATCTCCGTTGCCATTACTTATTATTGGTTTTTTAATATATTAATTTTTCTGGACAGTGGGCACTTATGACGCTTCTGAACCCAACTTTTAGTGTGGAGAATCTGATATACATTGGTTACCCTGGTGATCCATCATCTGCTATCCGTGTAACTAGGAAGCGACGTTTGGATCGCAAGAAGCAACATTCAGAAAGAAATGTTTTGCAGTGCTTTGTTTTTGGGCCTCGGAAGGCTGGAAAATCTGCATTGTTGAATTCTTTTATTGCTGGGTATTTTCACTGTACATGTTTTCTTGAAGCTGCCTGGTAATGTGACTTAAGTTAGTGTATAATATATCTTATTGTTGTTGAATTAATATTGCAGGAAATATTCTGAAAGTTACAATCCAACCACTGAGGATCGTTATGCAGTAAATGTTGTTGATATTTCTATGGTAAATGTTACTTGATTGATATTTGACAATAGCATCTACTTACTGTGCAAAACATTTGTCTCAGCTTTTCCAGAACTAGAGTCTTCTTTTGTTGTATTCATTTATTTTTCTTGGCATTTGTTTCTTCTCTAAGTATATGTTTTATCACTTCTTTTTGCAGGAAAACAAAAAATATCTTGTACTGAGAGAGATTCCTGAAGATGGAGTTAGAAAGCTGCTGTCCAATAAGGAGTCTTTGGCCTCATGTGACATCGCAGTTTTTGTTCATGACAGGTGACAGCTGATAGTAAAGACATTATACCATAGAAGTAATGGGTTATCTGTGTGAAAAGTACTTAGGTCATATTTTTTTCTGTTTGAATTGGTTTTATTGTTTCCAATATCCCAAAACCAGAAAAAAGTACGAAATGAAATATTTTTTTTCTAGAGAACACTCAACATCTCTCTCTCTCTCTCTCTTTAATTATAATATTGGAATCAGTATAGTATAAATTTCACTATTATATAACTTATTTAAAAGCGGTTTTTATAAAGTTCCAGAAATTTCTACTCAGTTTCCTTGAATTCAAGTTTTGATTAATTTTGTGTAGTCTGTTTAAATAAATTCATAAGCAATTGGAAAAATTCTGTTGTACCCTTGGATGAGCTTCCTAAAGCAATATCTGGGTTGTTTTTATAAACTAACATTTGCAACTTACAGGCATAAGTTGAAAATAATTTAAAAATAAGATTTTCAAGTCATTTTGAATTTGCATAGTATGATTTCAAAAGTACTGACTAAATTGGCAACTCATCCATGGGCTTAAGTTAACTATCATTTCATGACCATGTGCTGTTAGGTGTAGACAACTCATATTAAGTACTTGGAAAATGTTGGTTGTATATAGCTGACTTGATATTCATTATAGGTCTGATGAGTCCTCATGGAAGACATCATCGGAACTCCTGGTAGAAATCGCTGGTCATGGAGAAGATACTGGCTTTGAGGTGCCCTGCCTTATAGTTGCAGCTAAAGATGATCTGGATTCATTTCCAATGGCTATACAAGAGTCAACTAGGGTATTTTCGACTGGCTTATTTCTTTGCAATGATCGTGTGCATAATTTAGTGTGCATATTGATGTACATAATTATTAGATGGTCGGATAAAAATTTATTTAATGTGGTGAACATGACATGTTTTGGATTTATGATTTCATCCAAACTTTCTAAATATTGATACATATCAAGTACTAGTCTCTCTCTCTGTATTTTTTGTCCTTCAGATTGAAATTTGATTTAGAAAATTAGAAGTCAGTTTCAATTACCTTGTTTCCCTTTTTATATGTATTATGTTGGGGAACTTCTTCTTTTTTGACATTTGCATTTTACTTGGATGTTTATTTTATGTCATCTTTGAATGGAACAAATGAGAGATTGAGGATCTCACTCCTTCCCTATAGCCGTTGTACTAGATTCTGTACACCTGATGTTTGGTAACATTTTTAAGGTGATGCTTACAAAAGAAATGACTTCTAAATTAAATATTATCTTTATTCCGTTTTGAATTTTTGGATTTTTATTTTCAAAAATCTATATTAGAATTGGCTCAAGAAGAAAGACAAACAAGGCATTGGTTTGATTTTCCCATACTAGTGAAGTACAAGACTGGTAGCATAAGATGTTTCGTCTATCAATGTCTAGCTGGTATGCTGAAATTTTTTTGAAAAATAAAAACTAATAAAGCTAACTTACCACCAAGATACCCATTCCAAACAGAAGTTTGATTCCTTTCACTTTATATATTATCTTCGATTGATTTAAATGTGATTACTCTGTTGAGCTGTATAATTATTTAGTTTCCACTCTTTTGTTATAAGACTTTGTTTTCTTGCACATTTTAATAAAGGGGCTAGTTTTGATATATGTTCAATTAATCTATTAGTTGCATACTTGTAGCTAGAAACTTGATATTTTTGGAGTTCATCTTCTAGCTTTGTTTGCACTTGTTTCAATTTTATTTTGAAAATTATATTTGTCAACCTTTTCTACTGACTTTGCAAGCAAGAGTGAAGACTGAAAAGCATACTGTTAGCTTTTCAATTTAGGGTCATGTCTGTGTGAGTGATGGACAGATAAACATAGCCCTGAGATCTAGAACAGATTGTCGGGAAAATATTGTATTCTGATGTCATCCTTAGCATGTGCTATGTAAAACTTGTGCTTGATGCTGAGAAATATTCAAACAACTACTTTATCCTGAATCAACTGCAATGACAATTTTGACATGCCAATGTGTTTTTAGGTTAGTCAAGATATGGGAGTCGAGGCTCCTATACCAATCAGTGTGAAATTAGGGGATTTCAACAGTCTATTTCGCCGAGTTGTAACTGCTGCTGAGCACCCTCATTTAAGCATTCCAGAAACTGAAGCTGGAAGAAGCCGCAAGCAGTATCACAGACTTATAAATCGTTCTCTTATGTTTGTTTCAGGTATGGCAGTTTTTATTAGGTTGACTCTTTCATTCCATACATTTTGTGTCTTAAAGCTGTTTGATCTCTTATGCTAACTTAAATGAGCCTATAAACTTGTCTGAATTTAGGGTGATGTGATTATCTTGATTCAGATGTTCTGTGTCCTTTGGTTGGGTAGTTGTTTATTTTGATTTTCTATACGTTGTCTTATAACCTTGAGGTGTTGTGCAACTGTGGTCCATATTGGGTTTCCATTAAGCTTGTATCTACAGTATTATTATTATTATTATTTCCCTTTTATCTGATTTTTTTTCTTCATTATTCACCCGAGTTGTTCTGTTTTATGTTCTCTTTGATTTATAGTAGGGTGGACGATGCTTGGAATTTAGGGATTAGATAGCCAATATATTATCAGAAAAATCAAATGGTAGTAAATGAATAAATAATTGGGAGTTACTAAGTTCATACATTAGAGAGCTGCCTTCTTGGGAGCCATGTACTTGTTGCATGAAACAGCCACCCTTGTTTGGGCCTACCATATTATTGGATGTTAAATCTGCTGTTCTTTCGGGTTTTTGCTTCTACTTTTGATCATTTTTGCTCTGGAGTTTGGATGACTTTTAGTTTGAGCCTTGTATAGAGTTAACAAAAAAAATATAATAGGCCTCTTTAGACAATTGATTTAACAAAGTCATCTTTTTATTTTATGCTTCTGCTATTTTTGTTTCGGTATTTAATGATTTTATTACCTTCATCATATTGCAGTTGGGGCTGCGGTGGCCGTAGTTGGACTGGCAGCTTATAGGGTATATTCTGCAAGGAAGAGTACCTCTGGTTAAAAGACGGTGGTTCTGTGAATGGAGCAAGGTCTATTACCTTATAATGGGTTATACTGTCAGGTCCAGTTAATTACTTAATTACTGGAATCTTGAAAAGAATGAAAGCATCTCCTCTGTATTGAAGATTACATTTAAGATTTTTAGCTGTGCGCGAAGTTGACCTAAAATCGTAGAAATATTTAGCTTTTAAAAAGCTTCATTTCCTTTAAAAATAAAATAAAATAAAATGGAAGCGTATTAATGAACCAACTATTTTATGCGGGTTTGTCAATATTAAGTATTTAAAATTTTAAACATGTAGGTATCACAAATCTTGGTTTGTGTATGTAATACTATATTTAAAATTGAGTTGATTATAATAATTAAGGGGAAAAAGGAAGAAGTCAATATAATTCGTGTAATTGGATTGTAAGAATAGTTTCATTTAGTTCTGATGTCGACAAGTATGGAATAATTCGTGTCATTGGATTAGTATGGCTGGGTTAGATTGTTATGGTTCATTACACACGTCGAGGATGGAATTTTGGAATTGATTGGTTAGCAGGTCACTGTCAGCAATTTTGGGCGGGGTTAATGCATGTATTTTGCTCATCCTTATTACATGATATCCGACTAGTCTCCTTAACAAACACTTATGGGAGATTTTTTTTTTTTTTTTTGGAAATATTCCAATCAGTTCATTGGTTCGCAACTAATCCGATTCGGGGCGGGTCTAGAATTAAGGCTTTAAACCCCTCCTCAGCCTCGAATCGGATTAGTTGCGAAGCAATGAACCGATTGAAATATTTTATTTTTTTTTAAAAATCTCCCATAAAATGAGAATAGTTGGTAGATAAGAATACTTATTCACAATCAAACTATAAGTGCTAGTATAGATAGAAGTATTCATATCTCAACCAAAAACTTTTAAGATGTTAGGCTTATGAATCATTTAATTTATATGCTCTTTGCTTATATTCTTACCAATCTGGAATTTTATCGCTCAAGTTAAGTCGTACAATTTGTCAATTTTCCCTGGAGCGAAAATTTCTTTGATTATTTATAGTATTATTACCAACTAAGAGTGATCAAGTCTTGAGACAATAAGTTCTGAATAACACAAACCCAAATACTAATCATCATTTAAATATTCGGCTCAATCAATTACTTGATTGACACATGTCAAATCATTGGCTTTGATTTCATTTGTTACTATAGACAAGGAGCCCGTAATAGAGGAGATCAACAACAATGTACTTAGTAAGGAATTCAACAATCAATAAGTTAGATTTCTATATCTCGATTCGAAATTTAATGACATCAAGTTTATGGGTTATTTTATTTATTAAAAAAATATTTTTGCAGTTGTGGCATAAATATTTTTTTCAGCACACTATATACTGCCGGTAGTATATAGTGTGCTGCTTTCTTTTTTATATATTAGCGGGTCTCATTTTTTGTGTAGGTGGCAAACACTTTTTTTTCTACCATAGTGTGAGAAATTTAAAGCACTTTATTTATATGTTATTAGCCTAGTTCATTCTTATCAATGTAGGATGTTATTATCTAAGTGTGAGTTCTATAATTTGTCAGCTCCCCCTTGAGTGGAAATTGCTTTGAACATTCATAAAGTTAGTGACCATCTTCTCTCCCAATCAATTACTTGGAAACATATATAGGTCTAATCACTAGTTCTGATACCACTTTCTAGTAGGCAGTGAATCAAAACAAGAAAGATCAACAAGAATATACTAAGCAAGAAATCAACAAATAATAAGTTGAGTTGACATCACATCTCAACTCAAAACCTGAACACATTAAATTTATTAAGTCATTTAACCTCCAAGGGTAGCTCAGTTGGCAGCTGAGCTCCCAAGGGATTGCTTGGTGCAGGGATCAAACCCTGCCTCAAGCAGTTTCTTGGAAAATCTTTGGAGGCTAGAGGATAAGCTAAAAAATCTTCGGTTAGGCGATTAGTCTCTGTTACAATGAGGGGCTAGCCCAAACGGGCCGTACCCCAAGGGCATGGTGCCCGGAGAAGGTTGAATGGGGATACCTCCTGGCAATGTACCAAAAAAAAAAAAAAAATTTATTAAGTCATTTAACTTATATATTACTTGTGTTGTGTAGCCCATTCCTATCCAATTGAAGATTTTATCACTTACAATTAAATTCTCAACAATAATTATATTACTTGTTTGCATTATTTTCGGCCACTATATTTATGTTTATTACCTCTATGGATCCAGTTACCCACAATCAAACTATAATACGTAACTTGTTTGCATTTTTTCCGGCCACCATATTTTTACATTTTTTTACCTCATCATTATTGAATTTATGTATGTACTACGTACCGTGTTATTAGGGAGGAAAAACTAAATATAATGTTAAAAAAAATCTACATTTTTAGGTGGCCAAATTGACTTAGCATGGACAATTTCCTATCAGCAGTTGGCAGACAATGCAGGATATATCATATCCACTTATTAGTTAGATGCTAAAGATCTCACTCAACAATATCACAATAATAAATTGCTAAAAGAATATTTACAAAGGTACGGTAATATTCATTATTTAATTTGGTCTTAGAAAGATGTTTCATGTCTTCCAATAATGATTACTTAAAATGTAAAGGTGGAAACAAAAAGTTTTGTCAACAGAGATGTTCTGTGTCGCATGGTATACTATGATTAATTTAGAACATTTCACCAAGAATATATATATATATATATATATGCACCAAGAATTCATCTTAAAATTTATATTTGTATATGTCAAATAATGATATTTGAGTACCTAAAAAAGATGATATAATATATTTTGCTTACCTTAATGAAATTCAAATCACCTCTTCCCTTATTTATTTCTCCAATTCAAAATTGACACTTGAGCAGAAAATCTTTTCTTCCTTTTAAATGCCATTATTCTGTTTAGTTTTAAATTCTTTTGCTGAGGTGTAGCTTTTTTGATTAGAAGGACTGTAAAGAAAGATAAATTATTTGATTCGGGTTCTATGATGAACTCAGAGCATATAAAAGCTGGAGTCTGCGATTGGTTAAAATAATAATTTTGTGACTTGATAAACAATTTTTAAAATAAAAAATATAAAAAAAAACTGTATGCACTATCAATGGTGGAGCTAGAGAGGGCAGTTGCCCCTTTAAATTTATATAAGCCTTTAGTTGTGAGCATCATTGTTATTATTTTTGGTCATATAAACGATAAATGTTCCCCCTTCAAATTCTTAAAAATCTTTAATTATGAAAATTATTTTTGGTTACATAAATAATTATGATTTATAAAAAAAACACAACACTTGTTATTTTGCTCCCTTCCACAAAAAATTGCTGGCTCGGCCATTGTATAATATAAATGCATGCTACCTTAATTGGGACGTTGGAGCTTTTGATAGCAGCTCCTACCTAAGAATTTTTCTCACTAATGTTGTGAGCACGTCTGGATCACGAGCGTGACAAAAGGGCACCTGATCTAACATACCGTCATGCAAAACTTCATTTTAAAACCTTATGAATATGAATATATCTATAAAAAATTTGCACAAATACAAAACTTGGAATGAAATGGCTTCCAAGTCTTTCTCCCTTTCACATTTGTGTTCTAAGCAAACAACTTTTCTCATTTTCTTGCTTGTTTCCATAACCCTAGCACTCTTTGTACTTTCGGTGAAGCCCAAAAGAGTCCCTAATATTACCATCACACTTCAGGTGGATAAAAGAAAACCTGCTTGGTTTGATGTCATAGAAAAAAACTTTGATAACAGGAGGATTATGGTAGGTCTAGTTAATATTGATACTACAAGAATGGATGCAAATCTTTATGAGCAACTAGATGAACTGCACCCACAAGTAGAGAGTTTATCTATTGATTTTGATCATGTTGATGAGAACTTGAAATGGAAAGACTTTTTTCCTGTGTGGATTGATGAAGATGAGAAATGGGGTAAGCCAAAGTGCAAGGATTTGCCAATGCCAACATGGGAGGATTACCGAGATGTGAATGTGGTGGTTGCCAGAGTTCCATGTGGGAAGGGGTCAGGGATGGAAGGGGTTAGGGATGTGTTTAGGTTGCAAGTGAATTTGGTGGTGGCTAATTTGGCAGTGGAGAGTGGAAGGGTGATGAAGTTGGATGCTTATGAACCGGTTTATGTTGTGTTTATTGGGTCATGTGGTCCCATGGTAGATATTTTCAAATGTGATGACCTATTGTTTCATCAATTAGGTGAGTATTGGGTGTACAAGCCTGATTTAAGGAGCCTCAGGCAGAAGATGCTTATGCCTGTTGGTTCTTGCCAGATTGCTCCTGGTTATGCAGAAACAGGTATATTTTCATTCCAATTAAGGAACAATAAGATATCTAATTTTTTTTATTTTTTTTTAAGTATATGTGATCAATTAGATATGTGATTTACTTGTATCCAACTATTCGTATGTCTAATAAATTAAAATAGTTAGACATAAATAGAATCAACAGTTAAAAGTATGAGTGTAATTTAAAACAGTGTAAAATGATATGAACTCTTTTTTAATACATTAAAGTAGCTAGCATACACTTTAATTAAAAATTACTTATCTTTCAAAGACATAAATTCATAGTGAATTGAGGTTTTTTTTTTTTTTTTTTGGCATTTGATCAGCATGTAGGAGAAAGAAAAGCATAATTAAAGGAATGAAGATCCTCTTCTATGTGAGAGAGGGTTATGTTTTCTTTAAGTTCCTTTTTCTATAGTGAAGCTCACCACATAGTGAAGAAATATATAGATGACTTCTAACAATAAAAGTGTAATGAAACTTGATGCAGAAATATGTTATAAAGTGGGTTTTCCTCCAAACATGGATCCAGATCAGAAATTAAGTCATTTGTCATAAAACCAACCAGTGAAGTGACATTCTGCTCTGGAGTTACCAAAAAATAAGATGAAAAAAAAAAAAAGTAACATATTTTGGTTATCATGTGCAGGTAAAGAGGTATGGAGGGCCTATATATCACAATCACCAGCGACATTGAAGTACAATTACACCATGCGTGTCCTAAGATTAGCCTATGTGACAGTCCTCCACTCTTCAGAAGCTTATGTGTGTGGTGCAATAACTTTAGCACAAAGCATTCTTCAAACAGAGAAAAGCATCCTTCAATATAACAACAACTACACAAGAGACCTACTCCTCCTTGCTGATGAATCAATTGGTCCCAAATCCATAAGAGGTTTGAAAGCTTCAGGATGGAAGATCAAACGCATTCAACGTATCTTAAACCCCTTTGCCAAAAAAGGTTCATATAATGAGTGGAACTATAGCAAGCTACGAATATGGCAACTCACCATGTATGACAAAATCATCTTCCTAGATTCTGATCTTCTAGTCCTAAAGAACATTGATGCTTTCTTCGCTTACCCTCAATTATCTGCTTCACCTAATGATTTTACTTTGTTCAACTCCGGGTTGATGGTTATTGAGCCATCCCTATGCATGTTCGAGAACTCGATGCAGAAAACTTTGAAGGTTAAACCATATAATGGTGGTGATCAAGGTTTGGTCAACGAGATTTTCACATGGTGGCACCGGTTACCAAGGAAGCTAAACTACCTTAAAAGTTTTCAACAAGGGAAAGGGAATGATGAGAAGCATGAGATTCCTGAGGACTTGTATGTGATACATTACTTGGGTTTGAAGCCATGGATGTGTTATAGAGATTATGACTGTAACTGGGACATGAAGGAACTCCATGTTTTTGCGAGTGACTTAGCTCATAAGATGTGGTGGAAGGTTTATCATAACATGCCTAAAGAGTTGCAATCATATTGTGGGCTTATAAAGAAAATGGATGAAAGGATAAAACAACGAAGAAGAAGAGCAAGGAATGCTAGTTTGTGTGATGGACATTGGAAGATTGTGGTTAAGGATCCTAGAAGGAAACATTATGAGGATTTGGATTAATTAGACTAATATATTTTATTATTATTATTGTTTGAAATATTAATTTAATTATTATTTTTATATAGATATAAAATGAATTCTCACGTGTTGTTGAGATAGATAGTCCCACATTGGTTGCATGTGCAACTAATGTGGCCTTTACAAGGCCTTGGACACTCTCACCCTTAGAGTTAGCTTTTGGAGTGATGTATCTCAAGGTTCTTTAACATGGTATCAGAGCATTCGAAATCTCGTCGCCCCCCACTTTCTCTCTCTTGTGGCGTTTCTTAGCACAGGTAGGCTGGGCCTGTTGCATTGTCCACTCTTCAAGCCCAATGGGCTCTTGTGTGAGGGAGCGTGTTGAGATAGATAGTCTCATATTGGTTGCATGTGCAACTAATGTGGCCTTTATAAGGCCTTGGGCACTCCCACCCTTAGAGCTAGCTTTTGGGGTGGTGTATCTCAAGGTTCTTTAACACGTGTCTTAATTATTTATAATTTTTAGTGACAAATTAATGTCAGCCTCATGTTAGTTATTATAAAAATAAAAAAAAGTAAACATGAAGTAAAAGGAGTTAAAAATATGTTACGTGTGGGCTAAGGACTTTGTCTCTCATATGTGAAGTTAGCCCAGCATATTAAGGAGTCTATTAGGTGTCTGTTATATAGCTGTGTAGTTGTATATTAGTATAACAGTAGGGTACATTAGTAATAGCTGATACATTACAATAGTGAGGTGGCAATTAGTTAGTTACCCATGTGTTAATTGGTTTGGAGGGATGCATGTAGTGAGTTGAAGTGCCATTGTATAAAAGTGGCATCTGTAACCGAAGAAGACTATTCTGGAATAATAAAAGTGTCTTTGTATTCTTTCAATTTCTCTTCGTGTCTCTGTTAGGGTTCATATCCCTTAACATTGGTGCTTTCATCATTGTGGACTTTGTCATTTTTTCTGCAAACAAAAAAAAATCATGTTTTCATCTCGTTGAATCTTCATCCTTGTCGAACGTAGGAAGATATTCAAGATGCAAACGCGAATGGAGCAAGGTCTCATTGAAGATCAAGCTTTGTTCTCCAATATCAAGAATCTGTTGCAGCAAATTCACGTTGCACTTCTGAGTACTGATGCCTTGACAGCAAGAGCAACACAATTTTCTTTGAATCAAAGAACTATGCACCATGCTCCCAACAACGCTGCAATCTTGGTTAGAGAAAATTGTTCAGGGGAAAATGTGGTGCTGCAAAGTTGCTTCAAGAAAATCCACCATACTCCCAAGAAGGTGTCGGTTGATGTTGTGGACTCTCTAAATTTGGTGGATCTGCCGCGGTCGACTTTCGGCGAGGGTGTTCCGACGTTCGCGGTGCTGGCGAGGGACGCAACGGGAGGAGAAAGTAAGGTGAAAGAAAATGACGAAACCAAGAATAAAATGGCTGAATCGAGGGAAAAGAATTCAGTTTCAGAGAAAGAATCACCATCTCTCTTGCAAAATTCTCGTCTCTCTGTGGAACAATCACCGCGATCTGTGCATTCTAAGCTAGTGGGTAAGCGGAAATCACCGAGACCTACCTCCTCACCACCAGATACACAAATCCCAAGAGCTACAAAGAGTTCAGTATCGCAGATTCAGTTGAATCTCTCTCAAGAAGATCTAAAGAAAGCAAAGGAGCAGAAAATACATGGTTATGCACACCAGATGTTTGCTGAAATGGCGGACCATAATGATACCTCTAACTTCAAGGTCATATTTTCCCCCTCAGATAAATGCGTGAAAAATAATGCATGTTCTTTATTTGGTTGGGTGATCTTAGATTGCATGTTCTATTGGGACCCGGGAGGATTTCTAGTTCTCTTTTCGTTTTGGTCCTTCAAGGAGTTAGTTGGCAATCGACCTTTGTCAGAATTAAGGACTGTTAATGAAGCTGTTGTAGTAAGAGATGTTGTTTCAGAGGCTACCGGTATTAAGATTGAAGGAGAGGTTTGTTCTTATGGTGTAGAAAATTCTCCTAAGCTTGTTGGGAAATTTCTGTAGTTAGTAGCAACATTCTTTGGTGGCTTTGTGATAGCTTTTATCAAATGGTGGCTTATTACTGTTGTCATGTTGTCCACTCTTCCACCTCCTTGTGTTTCTGGCGTTGCTATGGTCCTTATCATTGGAAGGACGACTTCCAAAGGTCAAAACGTGAATTCTAAAGCTACACATGTAGTTGAACAAGCAATTGGCTCAATAAGAACTGTTGCATCCTTTAGTGGGGAAACAGAAGTAGTATCTAGTTATAGAAAATTTCTTGTAGATGTTTACAAATCAGGAGTTCACAATGGTTTTGTAGCTGTCATTGGTCTTGGCATAGATATGCTAGTTATTTTCTGTGGTTATGCTTTGGCTGTATGGTTTGGAGGAAAGATGATAATGGAAAAAGGGTATGATTCGAGTGCGGTGGTCATTGTGATTGTTGATGTGTTAACTGCTTCTATGCCACTTGGCCAAGCATCTCGTTTCGTGAGTGCTTTTGCCGCAGGTTAAGCTGCAATTTATAAATTGTTTCAGACAATTGAGAGGAGGCCAGAGATAGATGTTTATGACCCAAATGGATCATCAGTGTTTGTGGAGAACACTGGACTCTTAGCTTTGACACGAGTTGGTAGCCGAAGGGCTGTTCAAATATCAGCTGGATTCATGATCTTTTTCTCCATACTTGGACAATTTGGATCTGTCTTTGCTTCAATCCCAGGGCCAATAGTTGCAGCTTTATATTGCCTTTTCTTTGCCTATGTGGGTTTTGTAGGTCTCGAATTCCTTCAGTTTTGCAATTTAAACAGCTTTAGAACTAAATCCATCTTAGGATTCTCTATTTTCATGGGCTTCTCTATACCATAATACTTCAATGAGTACACAACATTTAAGGGCTATGGTCCTGTACACACCCACGCTAGATGGTTCAACGACATGATCAATGTCCCATTCTCGTCCAAAGCATTTGGCTGGTTCATTGACACTGTTCTTGGATGCCACATTGCACAAGAATTTTATGGTGAAGAAGTGCTGAAGAGTGGTAACAAAATCTATGAGATTATGGTGAAGGAGTTAGAATCACATGTTATACAGTACAAAGTCCTAGTTCTTTCTTTTTTTTTCGTTGGGACCTTGAGGACAAGGTCCGGTTTTGAGGGGAAGGTAATGTTACGTGTGGGCTAAGGACTTTGTCTCTCATATGTGAAGTTAGCCCAGCATATTAAGGAGTCTATTAGGTGTCTGTTATATAGCTGTGTAGTTGTATATCAGTATAACAGTAGGGTACATTAGTAATAGCTGATACATTACAATAGTGAGGTGGCAATTAGTTAGTTACCCATGTGTTAATTGGTTTGGAGGGATGCATGTAGTGAGTTGAAGTGCCATTGTATAAAAGTGGCATCTGTAACCGAAGAAGACTATTCTGGAATAATAAAAGTGTCTTTGTATTCTTTCAATTTCTCTTCGTGTCTCTGTTAGGGTTCATATCCCTTAACAAAATATTTTTAAAATAAACTTAAAAGTTTTATATGTGAATTAGACAAACTTAATAAATCACAACTAATATTATATGAGAACTGAGTAGTTGGTTTTATTTCTGTTCAATCATTCTCTTCATAAATTAAATCGTCTTAAATATAATATATAATGTGAGCATAAAAAAATTGTTATTTGTTTTCATTAGAATAGTATTGAGAAAGAAAGAAAAAAGAGAAAGCTATACGAACAGTAATGGAATAAAATAGAATAATTGTATAACCGTGGTAAAGTATATTAAATTTTTCACCAGAATTTCAGTCTCAACAATTGTAAAACCAAACATGTTTATTATTATGTTCAGTCTCATCAAGTTTTAAGTTACGGTTTTATCGGTTTAGCGAAAAGTTGGTGGTCGAATCGGATGATATAATATATATATCAAGGGTTCGCTTTTTTCAGCTTCTTCATAGATAAGTTATTTAGCAGAAATTAAGATATTTTTATAATTTTAATTTGTTTCAGGGTTATAATAGTTTTTATATTTATAATTTTTTAAAATTTTAATACCAAAACGACATCATTTTGACAATAAATACAGATAATTTATCTCCAGTAACTGCAGAAATATTTTTCCCATATAACAGAGCCCAACCAAACAAAAAATATAACAAAAAGAATTTTCTCGAATTTTTTTATTATTAATCCAAGGACAAAATTTAGATCAATTTATTAAGTATTGATGATAGTTTTTTCAAATGAAAATATGACATCTGTTACTTTTAATAAATAATCAATTTATCTAAAAAGAATTTAATTATATATTATGTGAAGCTCCCTTGAACGTCTATCAATAACTTTATATTATATCTATTTAACATACGTAATACCTTAACTATTGAAATTTAAAAAAATTAAGTTAAAAAATAATTCCAATGTTATATGTTTTTATTAGAAGGAAGACAACACCATAGAAGAAAAACTATAATATAATTTTAACCTAAAAAATGGGCCGAAGTATCTTTTTAACAAATTTCAAAATGAAGGTGAATGTAATTTTATCGTATATGTAATCTTTATGATTGCACAAAATGTTAAAGTTTTTATTCACGTGCACAAATTTTTTTTATCAAAAAACTCCTAAAAAAAACAGATATATAATTACGAAAACAAAAAAACTTATGTAGCTGAAATTTAAGTCGCAAACACAAGTATTACTTGACCATATCATTCGCTATTATATATACAATACTCACATAACGGAGCTGGAGGTAGTTCTATAATTAGCTCCTCTTCATCATCACTGAAAATCTGCAATACATGAGTAGTATACATGATAATAAATCACAAATACGTTTAATCAGGATTTTAACGTTTTCTTCAAAACTAATTAAAATGAATTAAGGAGGATATGAGAAGTTGGTTAGCAGTTAGTTGCAGTGGTTGCTGATAGTGTAAGCAGCACTGCTAGTTGTTGATGCAATGTCTAAGGGATTAATAATGGGAAGGTCTAACCAGTTTCACTGCTTGCTC